TAGGATATGACCTTCAATGTTTCTGTTCTATAAGTTAGCAGTCACTTGTAAGAACTTCTAAAGTTAACACTACTTGAGCGTTATCAAGAATGTAAGTTTACTAAACTGCCCCTGTTTCTCAGAGCTCTGTACAGAAAGTACAATATTGCATTGTTTGACCTGTTCGATAAACACAAGGAAGAGATTGCTCATGGCAAACCACGATGACCCTTTACTCTATGGACACTGAAGTAGTTTCACATTTTCTGTTAATAGTCTTGCAACTTTTCCCCTTTCATTTGCTTTTGCCACTCGACGTACTAATAAGGCTTAGATTAAAATGCATTGCATCAGAGGCAGGGGACAGTACATTGTCTGACACTAGGGACAGAAGTAAAACTTCAGAACAAAAGTCATATGTCTTAACAGCTTGAGGTGAAGAGCCAGCTTCAAGGTAAGAGGTTGTCAAGTGTCCCATCAAGTGTACTGTGTGTGACACACAGTCATCCTACAGGTGAGTAATTTGGAGAATAGAAAGATGATGGGGATTACCTAAGGAAGTCAGGCTGCCGTTGGCAGATGGGTGATTGAACCACTGGGTATTTGTTGTAGGAATATGAATTCCAGAAATGCAGAGCTCCTTCTGTAGTTTGTTGGAGGCCCCTTAACAATATAATTCAGAGGTGCTCGATATATGTAAGAACTAATATGTTAAAAATATTAATGTAAAATATAAATTGAAAATTTTTGAAGTCCCCTATCAATTACTTTATTATGCTAGCTTTATTCAGAATTGATCAAGTTAAGCTAGTGTGCCAAATGCATTTGTTTCTCGGGAGCAGATTGGATCAGTTCTCTGGTGTTGTGCAATGATTTCTGCATTAGCACTCTTTCTTGTCATAGCAGCACTTCAGTAATTCAGCAAGGCGGGCTTATATGCCGTTTTATGAAGGATGCTTTTTGCATGTCCTCTCTCTGCTGTGCCTAATATGTAAACATGAGGAACAAAAGAGTGGTCAGTGTTTCTGTAATAGCATGGACCCCAGTGGGCTCATGCATATTCGCTTCTTATTAAATGGTTCATATGCCTTTAAAACCATCACTTACTGGAGCACAAATCAGTCAAGATTTGCATTTTGCTTGCTATTCAAGTTTTTAAACTCATGAGCTCTCCGCCTAATGACAAGAATATTTATCCAGGTTAATTGATAAAATCTGCTCAACATAAAGTGCTCTAGGAAACAATTTCAGAACATTTACATGTTGTATTAACATCTCATTATTTTATTCAACACCCCCAGAGCAAGTGAGGATGTAGGATGAATGAAATGTGTTTTCTAATGGCATTTTCTCTAGAAAACGCTCATCTGCTTCTCTTCTAACATACCTATCTGCATATTGTCTTTTGCTTAAGACCTAAACATCCTTAAAGATCTAAGCATATGGCTATTTCAATATTAAACATCAAAATATTTATTCAAACAAAGCAGTTGCTAGATTTTTGAGTACTGAATGCTTTCAGTTGATTCTGTATTTTAAAGTAAGTTTGAATAGCAAATTAAAAAAATAGAGAAAAAAAAAACACAGCAGATTTGCTGTATGGTCATAAGCAATATGTTAACAGCAAGAGAATCTGAATCTGTTAAATAAATGATTCATTATAGGACAGTACCCCAAGCCTTTTTCCCACTTTTGGTGTTACTTTTTTTTTTTTTTTCCTGAGGACAGTTTTCTATGGATTTATGTTGTGATAAATATGCCCTTAAAGCAAGGAAACGGATAAAATAGAGGCTTGGAATTTCTTGTGGAAAAGCAAAAGGAAGATGTTGCTCATGACAAACCACAATGCTCCTTTACTTTATGGACTCTGTCACTCATTGTAAAAACTCTAGTATCTCAGGTTCCATTCTTGTATTTTGTATTTTTTCTTCCTGTTGTCCACAAAGCATTTACACTGGTGATTTTTTTCCTATATTATTAAGTATTTCAAGCTGAGCCATTTCAAATTATCTCAATATTAATTTTGTTGGCAGGAGACTGAAAGCAAAACCTTGTACTTTTCTGCTCAGGTGGGAGAAGGAAGACTAATTGATGTTATCATCAATGGGAGTGAGGCTAAATACTCATCCTCCACTACTGAATTGAATGAAATTAGGGCAGAGTAAAGTGTTTGTCAATAGGAAGTACAAGGAAAACCACTAAGAATAAGTCCTGAATTATAAATGGGAATGCAGAATCCCCTTTTTAGGCTCTGGACAAGTCTCTGTGACAGTTAAGAGGATATGTTTTTATAATGTAGTAATACTTATTAAACTGTTGAAGTTTAGTAAATTTGAATCTTTGTCTTTAAAGCAGGCATTTTAAATGGTTAATCCTTAATCACTAGGTAAAAATATTTCATTCCACTATTTCAGATATAAAAATGATGTCTTTATTTTGCTAGATTTTCTTAAAAGAGGAGGAACTAGATTTCCATTTAGCTCCGTCTTATTCTGCTTCCTGTGCTAATATAATTCCTTTTTTTAGCCTCTTCCATTTCTTATAATTCTTTCCCACTTTCCAGCTCCAGAGGAAAATTTGACTTGCCATTTCTCCGTGGCAAATGCCAACAGCAGGAAAAAGAATGACTTATCTATTATGTATACAAAGTTTTCACTAATATACTTTAGAATATTCTGCTTAGCTTATCTTTTGAGTCACACCCGCAACCACTCACTTCCTGACATTTTAATGTCAGTCAAATATTACAGCCAGCTATGGGGTTAAAAGCTCCTGAGGGGCAGGCTGCTGTGTTGATGAGAGATTACCAGGAAAACTCAGCTGTTCTAAGCAGTGGTTTTGGTATCATTATCAGTTTTATCTAATACGTCAGTTCTGAACACTTGAGGGTTATTTTAGTGAAAATAGATTTCTGATCACAACAGGGATTTACTGACCTACCGCCTGCCTCTTTCTGCTGAAGTTCAGTATTTAGACATTACATTGTTATGTTCAGAATTTCCTTGTTAAGTCCAGTTTTATGCTCGGAAGACCAAATCCTTCTGAATTTTGAGGTTTGCATCCAGGCATCAATACAGCCACCCAGCCCTGGCTCTTCAAAACTGTTCACAGCAGAGTTATTACAGAAACCCTGTAGGAAAACAGTAGCAGATCCTGATTCTGGAGGAGTTCTCAGAGCACAGTGGCTCTCCTTCTGCTCTCTTTTTGTGTGTAGCTGTAAAAGGACCATCATATTCTCATTCTTTAGTGTTTTCCCAGGATCTGTTGGTGTGAGTATTATCCTAAGAAGGAGGTGGTGACTTTAAAAACCTATAGTGGATTTTGTATTAATCTGTATTTAAATTCTTTTTCATTACAATTTAATTTCTACCACCCAAAACATCAAGTGGCAGAAAGTTCCTTAAGTCAGCCATGACTCTTATGTATACTTTGGTGTTGAACCCAGCTAGTGTCTTGTTTCATCTGAGGTTTTGTAATTTTTTTTATTAGGAGGGAAAATGAGTATTCATATTCTGTTCACCTTCTCCATCCCAATTTTAATTCAATTATCATACCCATGTATCTCTTCTCTGTAATCATCTATTTTCTTAGACTATTAATCTTTCCTATATGTGTTTTTCTATATCTTTTCTTCTTCTTCCTAATTTTCTTTAATTCATACCCTTAATCAGACTATGATTTTTGTTTGGTTGGGTTTTTTTCTTTGCTTTTCAACATTTAATTCAGTATTCCTGTGTAATGCCATATGTTTACTTGCTGTGAAATAATTAGAACTGTGGACAGATGAAGAAGTCTGACTTCCAAGACTGATTACTTTACCAGTCACCTCTCCTGCTTCCATTTCCCTGTCTCCTTAATAGCTGCACGTGTCATGAAAGCCCAGCACTTTTCAAAGGAGAGTAAGTTTTTCTTTCCACCCCTTTTGCAGTAGATGTTTTTTGGTCCTCAAAAATCCTGCATAACAGTGAAAGCTTGGCAAGTATCTTATTACTTGTCACATTCTTCTAATATACTAGATCTGTTAAAGCCATCATCAGGAATCAGTTAAGAGCTGCAGTTTTTTGTTGTCAGTTTTCACTGAATAATTCTAATGGGACATTTTTACACTGGATGTCATTCACAGACTTTTTGCTTTATTCTTTTCTTATTTATTTGGACTGACCAGGTTGTTTAGGTAAATCACTTGATATTACTATGAAATACTTATAACAATTTGTTTTTCTTCTTTGCTTACATGGATATTTTCTGGATGAATAGATTTTCATCCCTCCCTTCAGTCCCAATCTCCTTCCAAAAGTCGGGGGTGTTGGGGGGGAGATGACAACAAAACCAACAAACAAACCATTTTTCAAAATACCTGGCTTATTGCTACAAATTGAATGCATTGATGCAAACTGAACTGAGAATTGATCTGGGGCAAACCTAACCTTGGAAAACTTCTCTGCATTGCATTAAGGTTCATGAAGAACAAAGACTCTTAAAAGTTGTTGCTTATTTCACTTCTAATAGTGTTAAATGTAAATCTTGCAAACTTGAGGAAGATAAGATGAATATTGAACTCCAAGGCAGTAAGGAGGTTGTCTGGTCTGTTTTATTATTGTTTAAGATTCAACCAGGTGCTACATGGAATAACAAGCATCATAATTAAGACATTTTCTTTTCCGGAGGCTCTGCTCAATTTGATTCCAATGACACAGCAACACCCAGAGGTACCAGGGCTCTTGAGCCTTACAAAACTGCTTCTGTCCAGGAAGAGAAACACAGAGACTGATACAGAGCTGGGAGGGGGCAGAGAGAGATTTTTATTGGAAGCTGTTAAAGTGGTTGCTATGAGACCTTCTCAGCTAACACAGGCACAGCAGCGAATGTGAGGCTGATAAATCGTACCTCTTGAATTATACCTTTCCTTTCTGTTCTTTTTTTTTTTTCCTAACACAGCTTTTATAGTTGTTTAAGATCAGAGAAAGCACCTGCTAGTTGCTTTTTCTTCCCTTTTACTCCTTTCTTCTGCCTTGTGCAAGATGGAGCTAGAAAATGAAATTATCAGCTCCTCCAGCAATTCTTCGGCAGGCTCCAGAGAGTACAAGGTGGTGATGCTAGGAGCAGGGGGAGTTGGCAAAAGTGGTAAGTTTGAGCATTTTGGGGGAGAAGGGGTGATTTGGGAGTGTGAAGTTTACAGAAGAAGGATGCTGTTTAATGGGGGGTTTCATTCCTCTTTCTCTTGCACGTGGCTTGGATAAAAGACTATAATTCATGACTGGGGCAATGAGTCAGCTTAATTTGTTATGGACTGAAATGTTATAAGCCTTTTTAATTGGATATTTTTGTAAGCTAACCTTGACTCTACTGTATATGAGGAGAGAGTAGCTAGCTTGCTGCTGTTAGTGCAACAGCAAGTGGTCGTGTCGCTCTAACGCTTGGTGAGGGGTGATGGTTTGCTGGATAGGGTGTATGTAACTTGTTGGCCCGCTGGTCCCTGTGCCCGGGCAGAAATGAAACTAAGTGCAGAGTAAGCTGTACAGTGCAAAGTGTGGCGGGTGCCTACAGTGACTCTGTTTTCTTCCCCACATCTTTTGAGGTTTTTTTGCTGAGTGTCATTATGGCTCAGCTGGTGTTAGCCTCCTCTCCTGTCCGGACAGTTACAGAATGCATGTCTGAGTCTCACTCCAGGTGATAAGGTAGATTTGCAGCATATTTTAATATCACTGTCCAGTGCTGGCAAGATATGCCACTGTTTGACAACAGTATCTCTTCAGAGGAGTCATTATTTTCTCTGGACAAGGTTTTCTTTTTCACAGATATTATCACTTTTGATTTATTCTCACTGACACTAGCATTCTCTGTTCTTAAAAAGACTTTGCTGAACATGCAGTGTTTGCCTCTGAAGCTAATGTATTGAGCTGGCCACACAACAAGCATTTGATCACATCTTCTAGAAATTCAAAACAAAAAAAAAAAAGAAGAAAAAAACTCAACAAAAACCAGGTAACATAATATACTCAGGCTAGATTCCAAACAAATTTCAGGATAAATAAGCTGTGACACAAAATTGTAATATGTGTAGATCAAATAAATTTTATTTCCTATTCAAACAACAAGACAAGGTATAAATGGAAAAAATTAAATATTGGGAGTGGATATGATTTCCTCTCTGTGTCCATAATCTCTGTTTTTTGTTATGTTTGGCTTCAACTTCAGTGGCACATCTTTCAGTGAAAGCTGTTTCCCATCGGTATTGCTTAACAAGCAAACAATTCTCGCACAGATGTTATGCTATGATCGCTACATAAAATGAGAAAGGAGAAAATATTGGTTATCTCAAAGCAACTTTCTGTAATTTGAAATTATCTTTTCCGTGGTGAAGTAGATATCCAGGATGTGTCAGCTCGAGCTTTCAGCAAAATATCACTTCTTTTTTTTTCCCCCTTTTTTTTTCCTGAGTGCATCCAAAAGATGGCAGCAATTTTTCCTAAACATATTATTGTAAGAACACTGTCATTTTGAAGACCCATTCACCAAACCAAAAGGTATTGCAAATTATACCCTGTTCATAGTATAACTGAATCACAACAGCCAAATTTTATATACACATTGAGGAAATTTTAGAGTTCCCATTTACCATTAGATAAGAGTTTTAAAGCACAAATGAAGTTTATTCAAATCTTGTTCAGAAAAAATTAGCTATTGATTTCATAAGAATAAAGCCTTCAAATGTAATGATACATCTCCAAAGCTGAGGACCACATCATTATTCAAGGAGAATTGGGTGTCTGTGTGGTCTAGAGAAATAACAAGATGAAGTAGAAAGCAATGACATTCAATGGGACTAATAAAAACCTTCTGTTGTTTTCACAAAAGTGAAACTTCTGGGGGAAAAAACAGCAAGTGAGAATTAAGAGTCTAGAAGAAAGGAGGTGAGCAGTTCATCATTTACTGGCTATGAACTTCTAATGTGGAATCAGTATGAAATGTTTCAGTAGAATCCTGAGATAATACAACTGATAGAATTCTGATAGAGATAAGGAAAAATTTATGTCCTTCCATAAATCATGAATTCATTCTGACTGTTGTATAGGCAGGATTAATTTACAATGGATTAAAAGCAGAAAAAGACCCGAATGATTTTTTTCATTCTCCAAGAACAGCTCTGCTTTCACCTAATGACCTAGATTCACTCTGTCTAGGAAATTGTGAATTTTACCATAAAAAAGGGTCAGGGATGACCCCTTAGAATAGGGATGAAAAATTTTTTTAAAAGTTCAATTTCCAACTTAGAGTTTGACATGTAAGTGATATAGGAGATGATGTATTGATAATGTCCTGGCTTCTTTCCCCTTCTTATCCTTCCTCCTTCACTTGTTAAGTCATGATAAAAACAGTAACAGCTGGGGTTAAGTTGCTGAGTGAGAAACCTCTCTTGGATTAAAGCCTTTCAGTTCATCATGTTGTTCAGTATTAAGTAACTCAGGTTTGGAAAGAATTTTCCTCAAGAACCAAGCTGCAGAAATGTTCTTTCTTCCCTGGACATAGTTCACTTCTAGGTATCCCCTGTACATTTTAATTTTCTGTTTCCCAGCCTCTTCTGCTCTCTCACTATGCCATTTCATACTGTATGTATGGAGGTCTTTGCACTGAAAATTGCATGCTCATTGCAAGGGGCTGAGGGTGATGATCATCTGTGTGGACAGGGAGAAATGAGGAAAAGGACATCAACAATGGATATTCTTTTGATGTCGGTGTTTATAGAATATTTGCTTTGGGTTGTCAGGTTTGTTTCTTCAGTTCTGTGTTCCAAGATGGCAGAAAATCCAGGAGGACAACCATCCTCCTGTTATTTGGACTATTCAAGTAGTAGGCATTTTACAGGAATTGGTAACAGAAGATAAACTCCGCACATCCAAATCTGATACTCACCACATTCAAAAGTAATGATGTGTAAACTGGAAAAGTTTAAGAATTTTCACTTAAGGGTTCTCACCCCAGTGCCAGAAAAAAAACCCAACAAAAAAAAACCCCAACAAAACCCCCAAACCTCTGCCAGTATTTTATAGGAGGAAAAAACCCATCCCCAGTCCCCAGAGTTGGGAACAAACAGGTAATAGTGGCTTCTAAGTAAAATGTACAAAGCTATAACTTGGCCGTGTTAGGTTTATGGTTGGACTTGTTGATCCTAAAGGTCTTTTCCAACCTAAATGATTCTATGATTCTATATGTAAATTTTCCAGGCAAGAGATTTCTTTACCATAATTGTAGATTATAGATTCCCTAGAATGATATACCACTTCTAAGACTTCTGAAAACAGAACTATTTTTGTTTTTAGAGCAATATGCAATATTACTATGTGTAGGTTGTGTCTGACATCAAGTACAGCCATACACTCTGCTGCAAGTTCAAACCAAGTTTACACTACAACCAGGAATTAAAATGAAATAAAATAAATTTTTCTACTGACTCTCATTTGATTATAGTCCATTCCAAAATTACGCATTTCTAATTATAATTAAATTTTAATTTTAAAAAAATTATTTTTATACTTGTTCTTCTCTGGCTTGAAGAGAAATCTCAGATCAGCTCAGAAGCATTGAAACCTACCTCAAGGTGCCTGACATAGGGTTTAAACCCTAAGAATCTCAGTGGTTTTGAAACAGGTTTTGCTTACAAATACCTTCAGAGATCTGCATCTGGACAGTGAACCTACGACTGTCATGGACCCCAGTTTGATGCAGCTGAGACCTCTGGACTTAGCTGTATTTTTCAGTGTTACAAAAAATACACATAAACGAGCCTCTAAATCCTGAGACCATGCATTGCTGGCTTATATTTAGCAAACTGATTACACTAATAACAATAATTATCTGCAGCACATTCTGCAAAACATTAGCAATAATTAACTGAGGGGTTGCACAGTGACTACCAAAAAAACCAAACAAATTGGTGTACCTGTGCAACTGAATAAAAAAGAAAACCTCTCTCTAATGAAAAATTCTTACCTAGGCATCTTTCAAATTCTGATCAGATTGCACCATAATCTAACTTTACATACAACTTCTGGACTAAATGAAAATGTTCTAGTTTGGGTTTTTTCCCCTAATGTTAGCGAAGTTAATTTATTTAAAGATGTGGATGATCTATGGTTATTCCTGGCAACTGGAATTACATGTTTATCCATAGAATGGGTTTTTCATAGATGCAAAGTGAATTTCATATTACCTTTCCTGTGAAAGCTGCATTTCAGATGAGAAGAGGAAATTTTAAAAAATTCAAAAAATAATAAATATTTGTTACCAGTAATTTATTTTTTTTACCTTAGACAAAATTTGCATTTTTCAAGATTTATTTCTCAGACTGATCACCAATTTGCTACCATCTTAAAAAAATTGAAGGGATTATTAAAAAATTACCCCAAGGTTTTTGTAAAACTAATATATAGGTTCGGAAAACATTTAGATATATATTTCCAGGCTTCAATCTTAAAAAAAATAAAGGAAAGAGGAAAAGAAGGAACTAAGAAAAGATTCTCTTGGGGTTGTTGAAGGAAGAGTATAAAGAACTGTATTTCTCAGCCTGATCTTTTTAGGGGACACATGTTTACCCCATTGATTTCCTTCATTTTTTTTGCCAGTGTTGCACAAATGCCATATTTCTACAGATACAGGTGACTCATCAAATTAATCTCAGGATCACATGTACAAAATAAGTTCCAAAATGTGTGAACACAGCAATGGGTTTTGTCATGTGGGAACTTCTGCACTAGGAATTAGATTAAATCCCCAATTTTCTTTTATTTTTGTTATCAGCTGCCTTTTTTTTTACTAGTTTTACCCTTATTCTGTTTAGATAAAGCACATCCTGTGCCCATTCATTTCAAGCATGTCCTCATACCAAGAGTCCCCAGTAAATAGAGTCAGCACCATGGAGTGTGTACTGGAGAACTGGCCCACTCCAGGTGTTTGTTAATCCCTTGGAGATAAACTAAATCATGAGCCAGGTTACACCAGAAAAAGATGAAGACCCCAGGGAGAGATTCCACTAGCACTGAAAGAGGAGAAGTTGAAAACTACCATTTGGGTCTGCTGATGCTGTTCACAAGCCATCTCAAGACTCAGTACTGTAGAACACACTT